GAAAGCAGCAGCTGTATTTAAAACTTTCATTAGATAAGAAAACATGGCTGAAACTGCAGAAAGCTTAAAAAAAAAAAATTTTTTTTCTTGAGCAGTCACTCAAAGATACTACTTATGTTGTTTCGCACCCCTAAACGAAGCGGTACTTTGTCAGCTACATCAAATCTAAGAATTAAACAGTTAACACTTTCAGCCAGAACGTCCCACAAAAACCCTCTTTTGAACATTGAGAGCACTCAAGTAGAGATAAAGACCTAATGCTGTAATAGCCACATGCTGGCCACACATTTTAAAAAATACCACTGCAATCCACAACAGTATATAAAACAAATTCTACTTTCTCACTGAATCATGTTAAAAAAAAAAGCTTCTTGAACCAAAAACAAATAAATATATAAAAATCGAAACATCTTTGAAGAAAAATGCAAAACTTTTCATCAAACGAATTTTTACATACTGCTGCTGACGAGCAGAATATCTTCCTTTTATCAACGCCACTACACATACAGATCTATATAGCTGAACGTATCACCACTCCGCCACTAATATACCGACATCATCTTCACTAATTTCTCACACTATCGTTTAGTTTCCAAGAAAGTGTATTTTCAAAACCATATGTACTGTCACGAACACGATAGAAAAAACATTTGATTTGAACAAATTTCCTAGTGTTTCGTGGATGACTGCTTATTCAACTACTTATACAGTTTAAATCTACTGGATGGTTCGAATCAGAAGCCATTTTGCAAGGTAGCAAAAAAGCAGTTCTGAAAACTGCTTTAAACACGAATTATATGACGATTTCTATGCAATTAGAGGCAGTAAGATTGTAAGCACTACTGCAGTAGCAGATGTGCCTCAAAAGAGCAGTTTTTACCTTCCAAAAAAACTAAAGCTAGCATCATATCATCAAAAAAGGATGAAACTACTTATTACATCAAACATTCACTTGACGCTGGTTTCAAGAAATATTATAGGAGTCAAAATTTCGCTATTAGATGGTCAGAAAATTGAAAAAGAATACTCAGATAATTCTGAAACTGACACAGATTAACCAGGCGGATCCGATACCCAAATATACATCAGTGGTAACTATAACAGGTCAAAAGTATAAAAAAATCATTTTTTGACAATGGGGGACGCTTAACAGATATTTGAACCATAGTAGTAACCCGATTCAGCAGGACAGTTAATGGAAAAATTAGCACTTCAAATCAAAATTTCATAGTTCGAACTGAAGGCGGCAATTTGAAAACGGTGAGATATGTAGCACAAAAATTAATTTTTCCTACCGACAAGGTGTCAATAATTCATTCACAGTTCGTTGTTGGCGCGACTTATTTTTCAGATATTTGTTTGACAAAATTGAGCATCAAATTTTTTTCGTCCCACCTTTGTTGTAAACAAAAAGGTAAAAATAATTTGGTGAAACTGAACGGAATCTGAATTCTTCACTCACCATTAATGTCATATTGGAAATAATTCAAATTTGGCAAACCTATTCAGACACTTCCTTTTTATGGCTTTAGGTGGCAGTACTAGATTTTTCGGATCTAGATTCTTGGACGGCTATATACGTTAACGTGGATCTGATTTATCATATTTTTTACATCGGAAGAGGCTATTAATTCAATAGCATAATTAGCAGTTTGGAAAGTACTGCTGAGAAGCAGTTTTACTTTTACTTCTGTACTTGACACTAACCTATGTATACTCTATCAAAGTTGCTTCCTCCTTTGCTAAATCTTATCCTTTGCACCTTATTGTTTTCATCTGATGTTCTGTTTCCGCTGTGATGCCTATTCGCTGGTTAAAATTTTTTTCTATTTACTGTTCTCTTGCTCATTTTTTTTCAAATGTTTTTTTTTTTTTTGACTCAGTGTTGGCGGAGTGCGTTCAGTAACTGCAATTTAATCAAAATTATGGATGATGAACTCGCTCAGCTTGATTTTGAGTTATGCCGCTTATCTGGGAGTTGTGCGCGGCCATTGACAAGCGAAACAAGTACTCTCGTGGAAATCCTGCTAGTCATCAAAGCTGTATCGAGTACTGGAGAATTAAACGGGTTCCTAGTTCAATTAGAAACTCGCTTGATGGGAATACATGAATTTCTTGTTGGGATGAACTTGAGATAACTTTCACCGTTGGTTGCTTGTCTGTACAATCTGATACACAACCATCATAAATTACATTTATTTTTGTTAGTTTAGATTAAACTCGTGTAACGGACCCCGTCACACTTCTGTTGTGCATTAACGACTAGTGCAGTACAAACTGTACATTTTTTTTTTTTTTT